GGGGGAACTCTGACCCGTCGCCGTTGGCGGGCGTTGTCTTGCGAGTTCCGATTAGTTGCATCCCCCAAATCCACGAGCTGCTCAAAAGCTTGAGTGAACCTGTTGAACTCTGATGCGCGGTTGGAACGTACCTTAGGAAGCGCGCCTTCCTTTCCCTTGGTATGATGAAGCTCCTGCGACTTGGCCGATTCGTTCAGTTGGGTGACGTACAGCTTATCGCCGACTAAGATCGCCTCGACCATATCTGCAATCTTCTTCGAGCCGCTCGGGTTACGAATCGACGCGTACTCCGCCTGTTCGTCTGAGACACCTAGCGCATGTTCGACCCACCGGGAGGACAAAAGCCGCGGTACCACCTGTCGTTGCTGATCGACCTCTCTGTAGCACAGAGACGGTTGTGTATATCGCTAGCAGACATCGTTGTAATTCCCCTGCTCGCTGTCATAACAAAATCTGCGATCGCTAAGTTCAATAGAATCTCCACTGAGACGCGTGAATATACTCACTTGAAACGATTGAGATCGTCGTGCTTCTCGATCCACTGCTGCAACGCCGTCCAATCGTCGCGTGTGAAACCAGAGATCTGCTGAATACGCGAAGGTCAGTCGCTGGAATATGAAAAGCACAGACATACTTACGATCTCCCCAGTGACGTGCGGGAGATTGTGGTACTTGTCTCCGAAGGCCTTCCGAACAGCCTCGGGGTACTCGTCTTCGCCGTCGGTCTCGTTGGTGACTAGTGCGCAGTGAGGCGGATTGGCGGATGGTACAAGCATGTCACGCTTACCTGCCTCAGCAGGGTCGGACTGGCCGGCGGCGATCTGTTGGATCTCTGTTTCTGTTATACTAAATATTAGAGGGCTGCTGTGCGCATTACAAGACATGGATTTGTTACTTACCCTGTTCAGTGGCTTTAGGTTTCTTGACCTCGTTGGGTTCCCTAGCTTGGTGGCGATCTTTACGACCGGATTGGCCAACTCGATTGCGATGTCAGTGTCTACGAAAGCACGATAAGAGTATATAGGGCCTCACCTCCCGGGCTGTTGGGCTTTCGCTGCTGGGAGTCCGATTCATGTGATCCCCCTTCAAGCCGTTGGAATTGACACGACTGCGAGGATGACCGGGGCGGGGTGAGCGAGCAGACTGCGTAGCAGCAGAGCGAAGGAGAGAGGTGGTAGACATCTTAGTTCACGGCTTAGAACCAGAGGCAGAAGACATTCTAAAGAACCGGGGACGGCCGCCGTGCTCAGTCAAGGGGTCTATATCGTCAAGTGACTAAGCCCGGGTAGGTTCCAGCACCGCCTACGCCTCTCCACTCACACTCCGCCTTAGCTGCAGTGGCCCATGGTAATCCACCGTCTCCCCTGGGTGTGAGATCGTCGCGTTCATTCCCTCGCTCATAGGACCTTTCGAACAACGATATCCCAGCATTGCGGCCGCCGTACACCTTCTACGGCCGCCATTAATCCGCTCTATTCGCCCCGGCCTATGCCGGAGCTGGCAACCAGGGGTAACAGGGACTGTGGCGTGGGACATTTCGGCATGTTACACGCCACAGCTCGCGGGTAGGTATAGATGAAGTACGTACTAGTAACCAGAGGCCAATGAACAAGTACATACCTTAGAAGACGAGCGCAATTTACGGTCGGTGGTTGATTAAGCGTCTACAATTGTTTGTGAACGCGTGACCTATACGAACGTGAAATAGGATCAGCAAGGGCTCAGGAAGAAGAAGGCAGGAACATGATTTTTTACCAATGCCCGAGCCTTAAACCGACATGACAGTTGAAGATGAAGGAGAGACGCGAAGGAGATCGCGTCTGAATGGCGCGCAGGTACGCGCCCACGCAACGTAATGACAGATGAAGGGACAAATCAATTTTCTCAAATGATTTGGGACTCTGCAACATACCTGGCCTCTTCCTCCCCATTACCTGTACGTTCCTACTCCTCCGCTTCTTGGTTCTGAGATCTGGGTGATTTTTCGAGCTAGCAATGGTCAGAAAAAAGCGCACCATCGAAGAACTCCTCAATGATACGTGCGGCGCTTGTCACGAGACTTTTCGGACAAGTCAGGGCCTGTGCGCGCACCAAACCATGAGCAAGAAATGCTCATGGTACAAGAAAGGAAAACTCAAGGAGATCTTCGAGGTCCAGGGCCGTCAGGAGTCTTTGAACGACGGTGTAATAATTGAGCCTGCAGGGTAAGCATTAAAACCGCCTCTGAGGTTTGATCAATTAATTCACAATGTGCGTTCAGAACCAACGAACTGTCGGGTAGACGCGAACATTCTGGCGACAAGCCAGAACCCGTTGCAAATCTATCACCCGAAGAGGATGCAGATGAGGACGATGAAGACGAGGACGACGAATTATCGTCACTATACGACTTTATAGATGTGTGCCCACCGTCCAAGCCGCCGAACGATCCAGGAGGGACCGGAGATGATGGTGAGGGTGGAGGTGGACATGGCGAAGGCGGTCGCAACACAGGCGGTGACGCAGCAGGGCCATCGACTTATGCAAGACGAACCGCGCTCTCGCTCGATGACGACGACGACGAGCGTGTGGTAGACGAAGATACAGAAGCTGGAGAGGTTACTCAAGTTGACGAAGACGTGCGCAGGAGATGGCTGGAGGGCAAGGAAGGTCGAAGTTCAAGTAAGTGATCATTGACACTCACTTAGCAAATGTGTTCTGAATGTAAACTTGTGATTAGCGGGTCCGACTGCAGGAGAGAGGAGCACAGAAGACGCGACAAACAGTGACGGAAAGAACCCATGGGAGCCATTTCAGTCAGAGATGGATTGGCGATTCGCGTCTTGGGCAATCCAGGAAGGACTGACGCAGGGTTCCATCGACAGAGCGTTAGAAATACCCGGTGTGAGTACCTGGGCTTCCCTGACGATGTTACTCATATATGCTGACGCACCTCAGTTCCAAGAGAGACTCGGCCTGTTGTATCACAACAGCCGTGCTCTCTTACAGTGCGTGGATTCGCTGCCCGAGAGGGCAGAATGGACGGAAAGGTTGCTATCGTTCAGGGACCGTCCTAACGAGAAGCACCTTGTTCAGTTCCGCGACATAATCCAGGCCATTCGCACCTTGTTGGGAAACCCTGAACACGCGGATCAAATCGTGTACAGACCGCGGTGTATATTCTCAGACAAGTCGAGGACGCACCGTCTCTACAACGAGATGTGGACAGGGCGTTGGTGGCATGCCATTCAAGTGAGTAATCGAATATCAATCAATCCTTGCAAATATCTGAACCAATTGCAGAGCATCTTACCTGTAGGCTCAGCAGTTGCGCCCGTCATTATCGCGACAGACAAAACTCAGTTAACACAATTCTCGGGAAACAAGGCTGCCTACCCGGTCTACATGACGCTAGGCAACATACCGCGTGCTCTGAGGCGCAAGCCGTCTGAGCACGCATGTATTCTCATAGGTTATCTATCTGTCGATAAGGTTAGCTCCGAAGGCATCACTCAGCGCAAGCAACGCGCTCTCGTTCAGCACCTCTTCCACGTGTCCGTGCGCGCGATCTTGGAACCGCTCGTCCAGGCCGGGAAGGAAGGTATCAAAGTCACCTCAGGCAATGGAGAGGTTCGACGCGTACATCCGATCCTCGCCGCCTATGTAGCCGACTATCCAGAGCAGTGCCTGGTCACTTGCGCCAAGTCTGGGACATGCCCTAAGTGCCAGGCACCAGAGCAGCTGCTGGAATCTGCGAAGCCAGGTACACCTCGTACTTCCATCTGGACCTTGGATGTTCTCCGTCAAGCCAGCGAGAAAACCCAAGGCAAGACGAGCTCTAATGCGTACACCCGAGCGTGTCAAGACCTCAACGTGTCGGGATATGTCGTGCGTCCGTTCTGGCGCGATCTACCCTACACCGATATCCATTTGTGTATTACCCCTGACGTCCTCCATCAACTCTACCAGGGAGTTTTCAAGCACATCGTCGAATGGTGTACCGAACTCGTCGATGAACACGAGCTCGACAGACACATTCGCTGCCTTCCTCCGGCATTCGGTACTCGCCACTTCAAAAACAGCATTTCCTCTCTGTCTCAAGTCTCAGGGACCGAACGCAAGCATATGGCGAGGATTCTCCTCGCGTGTCTGGTAGGCCTGATACCCAGCAAGGCTATCCTTGCTTTCAGGTCTATACTCGATTTTATCTACCTCGCGCAATATACTACTCATGACGACACCACTCTCCAGTACATGGAGGACGCACTCAAGATATTCCATCGCAATAAAGACGTCCTGGTCGACCTGGGAGTGCGCGAGCACCTCAACATCCCGAAGTTTCACTCGTTACTCCACTACGTCGACGCCATTCGACTTTTAGGCACTACCGATAACTACAATACTGAGGCGTTTGAACGCCTTCACATCGACTACGTGAAGAAAGGCTGGAGGGCGTCAAACCATCGCGATGCACGTCCGCAAATGGTTCGTTGGCTGGCACGACAGGAGAAGATGGTCGTGCTCAGCTCGACCATCCACCGATCGCTCAGGAGTGCCGATCGGGAGCCAGGGGATGACAGTGACACAGGGAACTCTGAACCAGACCGAATACCTATGTCGTCACGAATCAACGCTCGAATCAAACTACCCAAACACCCTACGGCACCTCTCCAGACTCTCCCATCCATCGTCAACAAACACTGCGCACCGGGCTTCATCGACGCACTTGCTCAGCACATCTATACTCTCAAAAACGGGCACCCTCTCTCGTCCTCACAGCTCCGGAGTGCTGTCACCCACATGCCGATCAATCGCCTCAATGTATTCCATGGATTCAAATTCACCCCCGAGCCGCTGACCGACGATGCGATGGAAACTGACGGACAAGCAGCGCGTTTCGACACGGTAGTTGTGCTGCAGGGAGAGGATGCCGAAGCTACCGGCTTGCAAGGTGCGTATCGTCTTCTCTACTACACTCCTCACAGATTCCTGATATGATCACTGTCTATAGGTACCCGTATTGGGCGCGTCAAGGTAATCTTTAAGCTGCCGCACGACATCAAAGATCCCCGAACTCTCCGTCAGCTACCAGCTCCTCCCGAGTGGGCTAGCCAGGGGCCTCTGGCGTATGTAGAATGGTTCGCAAAATTACCAGCCCAAGCAGATCCCATTCATTTGATGTACCCTGTCCACAAGCCTCCCCTTCGCGCGAACGGAAAACCTGTTGGTGCCATCATTCCTTTGTCGATAATTCGACAATCATGTCAGCTTGCTCCCTGCACACCTGGATCGACTCGCGCAATGATTCGCGAGAATGTACCTGAAGACTGGGACACTCATACTGTACTAGATAAGGCTGCAAAGTTTTGGCTTAATAATTGGGCATCGAAGTACGCGTATCAGACGCTGTGGTAGACTAGTAACTTCGTAGTAGAATACAATGGTCACGGTGTCTGAATAGCTCTTAACGGCTCAACAGCTTCGTTGACGATGCTTCATTGACCTTCAGACCGCGACACTAGGTACTACTTCCATCACCCGTATAATTATAATACAAATTTTCAGACTGCTTTGAAGCACCCTCACCATTTAGTAGCGGAGCAGGGTATGGGCAGTAACAGCCTGTTGTGTCGTCATTATTTGAGTCGATCACAATCAGCGTTCTCTGGACTGAGCGCTTCGCACTTCAGGCCTCAGGACTCAGGGCCAGTACTCAGTCCTCGACCACCATCGAGTCTGCCGCCGTCTCGACGCCATCCTACCTGCCTGCATTCCTGCCCGTACCCGCCGACCTGCTTGTTATCCGACCATTCACTCGTGCTCTCGCCCATCTGCTTTCTCTTTCACCGGCCCACTCAGTCGTTTTCCCTCTTCTTCCCCGCTTACTCGTCTGACCGCGTCCGACCACCTGCCTCGCTGTCTCCCCGCCCACTCGGCCGCTACGCACGCATCTCTGCCCCAAGTCACGCAGGACGATCTTCAAATTCGAGCCAAAACATTTCGAGCAGTCTTCACCGTCCACCGACTCACTCGCCGACTGACTCCCTCGTATCCCGACTCCCTCGTATAACGACCCTTTCACCTGCCGACTCACCCATCGATTGACTCACCCGCTGACTGACTGCCCGCGGTGACTACGGCGGAATACGTTGCCCTGAAGAATCTGGAGACGGCTAACTTGAACTCTGATGTGAGTCCCTCGGGTGCATCATGTATAATGCCAACTCATGTATGTTCACTGAAGTCGATCAAGCTTACTTGTATGCTCTCAGAAGCCCTTCGGAGGGTCTTGGTGCTTTGGCGGAAGTGCAGAGTCTACGGGACGAGCAAGACCGTGGACCCTCTTCGATAACGCTCGAAGTCTCATCGTTCCCCGCCTTACCCATGCTCTCACTGTCAGTGATGCATATCGCATGGATGCATCACACCGGATGACCCGCAACAGGCCCTCGACATCTACTCGATCGCACCTCCCCTTGATAGCAGACACCCCCTTTACATGTCTGCCCTCTTCTTGTCGAACGCGTACACGGGGGCGACCTTGTGCAGGCGGTACGGCGAGCTCTGGCGGTGGGACGAGTGGTTGCTCCGCCAAGCGATCATTCCCGCTTCGCGGTTATGCGTGCACAAGCAGGGTGGCAATGCGTCAATATGGACTCTCCTAGATAAGTACCACTCATGCAGCTCGCACTGGCCACCCACGTTCCGTTCTGCGCAGCGCTCGACCATCACTGTCTTGCACCTCCACACGTTCGTCCTCCGGGCGCATGCATTGCAAGCCGAAGCGGTCATCCGGACGTCCCGAGACGGCACGGAGAAGGCGCACAGGTGGATCAGCGCTGCGCGCTCGGTGGAGTACCGCACGATCCTGACTGCCAGCACACAGTTTCCCAAGGCCGGCGAGCGGAACATCCAGGCTGACGACCTAGCGACCTCAGTGTCGCAGTGTGTGAGGCAGGTGGTGCAGTCGGCGAGTACGCTGGCTACGTAATCGATGTATGTGTTCTCCATCTGACCTGACATTGACACTGGAAACTAACTCCGTTGAGGCAGGTGTTATGGTGGGCGACCTGACATACATACAAGGTAGCACATGCCGTGCCTAGTGTACGGATACGGTGATGCGGAGCTCGCGAACCGGACCTTCCGCCTGTGCGTTCACCAATGCATTGTCGATCAAGCAAAAGACCACTAGTGGCCAGTTACTCAAGGCCCAGAAGTTCAGCGGCGCGCCACCACTGCCGCCGCGCCTCTCACAACTCCTCAAACATCACTGCGATCACCGAAACATGATGCGAATACGCCCCTAGCGGCTTTGCCAAAGGAGACACAATGATCCGGTATTCGCTTCGATAACACCGGCGCAGGAGAATCACGAGCAACTGAAGGAGGACTGGAGGAAAAGCGATGCCACCATGACCTTGCATATCACGATCCGTCCCGGCGCATTGGGCGGTAACCGGTGACCGGTTCCTTTGGCTGAATCCAGTCATTCGGGTCATACCATCGTTCCGGTGAATAAATGTCTCAGTGCGCTCATCACGGACTCCGAATTCAACGTCGTTGAGGAAGGTCCGGGCGATCACCCGGACGACGACAGTGCCTCGCTACCTCTGCCCCCAGCTCTCTCAAGGCTGCCGTCGCACCCGCAGACGGCCAGTTTGATGATTCCGGTCTCTTCGTCGCCGACAAGGCGACCCACGAGTCCGCAGCAACGACCCTCGCTGCGCTCGCCCAAAAGGATGGCCCCAAGGCCCTCCAGTCTGTCGGCTTCAACGATGCTGCTATCAAGGCCCTCAGCGACAAGAAGTCGCCCACGGCGCGTGAGGGTGCAGCGAACACCGTCGCTGTGATCACCAAGTCCGACGCTGTGAAGGCTCTCGAGCCCCTTTTCATTGACTCCGGACTCTACGCTGCTCTGCTCGAATGCTTCGCCGACAAGATGCCCGCTGTGCGCACGGCCGCCATCGACGCAGTGAAGGCGTACGTTGTGGGTATGAACACTTGGGGTGCAGCGCTTGTGCTTCCCGCCCTTCTTCACTAGATCAAGACGGTCGGCAAGTGGCAGGTCAAGACCGGCTCGCTCACTGTCCTCAACCAGCTTGTTACAAGCGCGCCTCTTCAGACTGCGCGTCTCACCCCAGAGATCGTCCCCATCCTCGCTGAGGCGATCTGGGACACGAAGGCTGACGTGAAGAAGGCTGCGAAGGATTCGCTTGAGAGGGCCACGGCTCTAGTTTCCAACAAGGATATAGAACACTTCATTCCTGCACTCATCAAGGCTCTGATCAACCCCGTTGAGGAGGTTCCCAAGACCATCAACCTCCTCTCGGCCACCACATTCGTTTCGGAGGTAGACTCCGCTACGCTCTCACTCATGGTCCCTCTGCTTTCTCGCGGTCTTAGTGAGAAGCCTACTGCTACTAAGCGCAGGGTCGCCGTGTACGTTTGAACCCACCCGATCACGTTGTCCGCATCGCTAATGGTATCTGTAGAATCATCGACAACATGGCTAAGCTCGTAGACTCCGCTGTCACTGTTCGTCCCTTCATCCCGAAGCTGCTCCCAGGACTTCTTAAAGTCGAGACGACCATCGGTGACCGCGAGGCTCGCAGCGTCGTTGGCCGTGCTGTCGCCACCCTCCGTCAAGTCGGTGACGTCCCCGCCGACAACGACGGTTCTGATTTCCCGCCCTTGAAGAAGGCGGACGAGAAGCAGCTCGCGCATTCCCTCCTCGGTCTCTACAAGAAGGCTGGCGCTGAGGCCCCTTCTGCGGGCTCCATCGACGTCATGTACGCCAGCAACCTTGCTGCCAACCCCGTCAACGCGAAGAACTTCAACGTGTCGGAGTGGCAATCGCTTGCGCCTTACCTCGCGTTCGTCACGACAACACCTGAGCCCATCGTGATCGTCAACGAGTGGGTTGTCAAGTCTGCATCTCTGGAGGATGAGGACACCGAAGTCCCTGAGGATGAGGAGGAGGGCGAGGATCTTTGCAACTGCCAATTCTCGCTCGCCTACGGTGCTAAGATCCTGCTGAACACTGCGACTCTCCGTCTCAAGCGTGGTCACCGCTATGGTCTGTGCGGTTGCAATGGTACCGGCAAGTCCACTCTCATGCGTGCCATCACCAACGGGTGGGTTCATTGCCTCGCGATACATTGATGTTGCTTATTCTCGCTTTACAGCCAAGTTGAGGGCTTCCCGTCACCAGATGAGGTCCGAACCTTCTACGTCGAGCACGATATCGACGGTAGCGAGGCCGAGACAGCCATCCTCGAATTCATCCTTTCCGACACACGTATCCAGGCTGGCGAGCAGGAGGTTATCGAGATGCTCGCGTCCGTAGGCTTCAGCGACGAGAGGCAGAAGCAGGCGATTGGCAGTCTGTCTGGTGGCTGGAAGATGAAGCTCGCTCTCACGCGCGCGATGTTGTTCAAGGCTGACATTCTGCTCCTCGATGAGCCAACTAACCACTTGGACGTCGTCAACGTTGCGTGGCTCGAGAACTACCTCACCGGCCTTACGACTTGCACGTGTTGAACCATATAGGCGCCCACCGGGCCGCCGGGTTCCACGGGCCGGATCGCACTGCACGTGCTAGATCCGCACTTACCGCATAGAGCAAGTCATGCGTGGGAATGGACTATACAGTAGTATTAGTCAGCGTCTCTCAGATGTATATAAGACCCACCAGTAGCGTAGCTCTCTCTCCAGTTCCTTCACCACGAAGTAAGTTGTGTGCCTCAAGTATCCAACCTTCAAGCAGGTAAGTTAGAGCGCGGTCCACTACGTGTGACCAAGTCTGCTCAACAGGTTATGAGCCCCGGTCGACGCCTGAGTACTGCGCCTTAACGGCTGCGACTCGGTGCGCACTGGCTTACCTGCGGCATCGCCCTCACGGGCTTGAAGCCAGGGGGAGACTATGCGCGGAAACGCTGCAGGTCTCAAGCGCGACTCACGTCGCTGCTAAACCCCATGAGGACACTGAGTCCATGTGTGTGGACAGCGCCTTTTGGCCGCAGTCCGTTGTGTGACAGAGTGCTGACGACGCCTTCGTTCAAGCAGCTCTTCAACGCTTCCCCCGTTCAACACAACTCTCACACAATGTTCAACGCTCTCCTCAACATGGTCCCTGTCCTGGACGGCTCCAACTACGCCAAGTGGTCGGAGGCCATGAAGTCCTACCTCCAGAGCCAGGAAGTCTGGTTCATGATCGGACAGACTCTCGGTGAGCGCCCGACGCTCGAGGAGGGCGGCAGGAACTGTCAGGAGGTCTTTGCGTGGACCCAGGCGGACGAGAAGGCGCAAGGCATGATACGCCTGCGCCTCAGTCCCTCAGTCGTTCAAATCGTCAAAGATAACGACTCGGCAAAGGATCTCTGGGATATGCTGTCGACGATGTACAGCAAGCAGAACACTGCCAACCTCTATGCGTCCTTCAGGACTGCGACGACAGTGCGCGTTCCTGCTGACCAGCACCCCGCTCCTTTCCTCGCCAAGATCATCGACGCTTGCGAGAAGCTCGAGGACAACGATCTCAAGCTCCCCGACGCGCTTCTAGCCATGATGGCCCTGAATGCTTTACCGTCGCGGTACGACAACGTCGTGCAGGTCATGCTGCAAACGACGGACGTCAAGAAGCTCAAGATCACGGATGTCCGGCACGCCGCCAATCTCGCCTTTGAGCAAGGCTCGGGCAAGAAGGCGTCTTCTTCGCACGACGCGAAGAAGATCTCGGCCGTCAAGCGAAAGCAAGGCGAGCCGAGCTTCCAGCAGCAGCAGCAGCGCCATGACGGCGGCAGCGGCAGCGGCGAGAAGGCCGACAAGGGCAAGGGCAAGCAGCGCGGTAAACGCAGCGGCAAGAAGTGTTACGGATGCGGCGGACAGGATCAAGTCCGCTTACTTACATATATATTCTTCTCTTTACAATAACCGCGACCCTCATCTCTTCCTCCCTCGTCCCGTACAATAGTTAGTGTATATTGCGTCACGTGTACTTCTAGGCGCCCGTCTGAGCCTACTGAGTAAGATTTGACGTTCCGAACGGTAAACCCGGAGTGAGATCTGGCCGTCTGAAACGGTGTGGCCGGCGCCGGCCGGAGGGGTCCGGGTCAACGTTGCAGACGTTGTCGTTGCCAGCACGTTGCCAGCGGTCCGGCCGGAGTGCATGCCGGCCGGCTCTGCCTCGTCTCCAACGTTGCGGCCGGCCTTGCCATCCCTGAATACTGTCCCCAACGATCCACCCGGCCTGTTTTCACGGTACGTTGCAACGCTCCGGCCGGAGCGCATGCCAGCCCCGCACCCCCTCCTCAATGTTGCGGCCGGCCTGTTTTCACCGGACATTGCAACACTCCGGCCGGACTACACCCAGGCCGCCCTCCCCACTTCTGAACGATCCGCCCGGCCTCTTTCACCCAACGTTGCAATGCTCCGGCCGGAGGGTATGCCGGCCGGTCATCCCTCGTTCCCAGTGTTGCGGCCGGAGCAGGCAGAATTCAAAGTGGCCAGGCAGTCCACGCTGCAAACAGTCCGGCCGGTCAACAGATATAGCATTGCAAACGAGCCGGCCAGCCTCAGGCCCTACCACTACAAATGGTCCGGCCAGACTTTTTGCCGGCCGAAAAGACAATGTCTCGGGCCGAGGGTACAGCCAAAACTCGGCCAAAGCAGCCAGACATTTTGCCGGCCGAGCTTTTGCTTCACCAACCTGGCAAGCATTGTCTCGGGCCGAAAAGTTGACAATTTTCTCGGGCCGAAGATTTGAGTACTGCCTCGGGCCGAAGAGTTGGGCATTTTCTCGGGCCGAAGATTTGGCCGAAGCTCGGTGAAAACAGCCGGGCTGTCGGATTGCCATATAAGGAAATTTGGTATTGACTGGTAGTACTTCATTGATAGACTATAGTATCAATTCCCTAGTGACCAAAGATGTCTAGTTAGGCCAGGATGTGCAAAACAAGATTTACTCACAGGCTTCTTTGCACAACAAGCTAATCAATTTCTGAAGCCAGTTTTCTTTTCCCACACTGTTTGACTATCTAGGATGTGTTGTTTCAATGCATAGAGTATATCCCCAACAGGAATAGTCTTATTCTTTGAAGCTGAATACAGGACAACAGATAAGGGGCATACAGGTATGGTACCGTGCTGAACAATGTTGACTCCTGCAGACAATCTACATTCAAAACACTGTTTCACAACCTCTGATGGTTCATTTACCCATAGGGAGTGAATCCTCCAAAGGAACAGTCTTATTCACATAAGCTGAATGTAGTACAGAGTTAAGGCAAGGGTGTATGGGTATACATGTCATACTGTGTTTACTTCCTGAAGCCAATATGCTTTCCCCACAATGTTCCACAATCTAGAGTAGCACATTTCAATGCAACAAGCAAGTCTCCCAAAGGAATAGTCTTATTCTTTGAAGCTGAACTCGGGGATGAAGATAAGGTGAATATGCATTATATTGTGAGAGACATACTTTGGATTATTGTCTGTCTGGGTGTCACACTGAAATGTTGTACCAGCATGCACATTGCACCTGCCACAGAAACATTTACATTGGTAACAGTCCGGCCGGCGAATCCTCATCCTCATAGGAGATGGTCCGGCCGGAGTGCATGATCCCCTTAACTCTGTACCACATTCAGCTTGTGTGAATAAGACTATTCCTTTGGAGAACAGATTCCTTGTGAGGAAATGAACCATCAGAGGTTGTGAAACAGTGTTTTGAATGTACATTGGCTGCAGGAGTCAACATTGTTCAGCACGGTACCATACCTGTATGCCCCTTATCTGTTGTCCTGTATTCAGCTTCAAAGAATAAGACTATTCCTGTTGGGGATATACTCTATGCATTGAAACAACACATCCTAGATAGTCAAACAGTGTGGGAAAAGAAAACTGGCTTCAGAAATTGATTAGCTTGTTGTGCAAAGAAGCCTGTGAGTAAATCTTGTTTTGCACATCCTGGCCTAACTAGACATCTTTGGTCACTAGGGAATTGATACTATAGTCTATCAATGAAGTACTACCAGTCAATACCAAATTTCCTTATATGGCAATCCGACAGCCCGGCTGTTTTCACCGAGCTTCGGCCAAATCTTCGGCCCGAGAAAATGCCCAACTCTTCGGCCCGAGGCAGTACTCAAATCTTCGGCCCGAGAAAATTGTCAACTTTTCGGCCCGAGACAATGCTTGCCAGGTCGGTGAAGCAAAAGCTCGGCCGGCAAAATGTCTGGCTGCTTTCACCACCAAGCTTCAGCCAAAAATCTTTCGGCCCGAAAATCTTCGGCCCGAGACAATCTGAACAATCTCGGGGAAATCTGTGCCCGGTCGGCAAAGCAAAAGCTCGGCCGACAAAATGGCTGGCTGCTTTGGCCGAGTTTTGGCTGTAGCCCCGGCCCGAGACATTGTATTTTCGGCCGGCAAAAGGTGAAAAAATCCGGCCGGCCGGACCATTGACACTGACATTTCTACTGGCCGGCCGGACCATTTGCAGTGGTGTATTGACTGACCGGCCGGACCATTTGCATTGCTGGGAATTGATTCCATGTGCTCCGGCCGGACCGTTGCAATGTGTACATTGCTCTGGCAGGAACTCTGGCCGGGCCGTTGCTAATGGTACCATGTTTATTGTATTTACTGACCGGCCGGAGCATTTGCAATGTAAACTGCCCAGCCGCTCCGTTTAGCTCAGAAATCTGCCTGCTCCGGCCGGACTGTTGGAAAGAGGATGACCGGCCCATATGCCCTCCGGCCGGACCGTTGCAACGTCTCGGGAAGGTTCCAGGGGAGGCCGGCCGCAACGCTGGAGATGGTGGATGACCAGCCAGCCATGCCCTCCGGCCGGAGCATTGCAATGGCACCGTTGCAAACGTTCCGGCCGGACCCTGGGGCTGCTCCGGCCGGCCTCCGGGTCAACGTTCCAAACGGGCAAATCTCACTCCGGGTCTACCGTTCCGAACGGGTTAGACACACTAAATAATGTGCCCGTCTCTGCTGAAGACGCGCGCTATACTGAATAGACGCCAGACTTACTTGCATCCCACCACCTCGTCCGAGTGTGATTCCGCCGCGCCGTACGAACTGGGATCGAGTCTCTTCGACGTCGGACTCCTTGTCCTTCGTCCTCGACGCGAGCTCCCCGCTGCGCTGTCCTTCTGAGTCGTCTCCTCGTCGACTCCGCTGTCGAGCTCCTCGCCGACTGCCAGCGCGCTCCTCGCGCGACGACTTCAACGCGGGCTCCTTGCCTCGCTCACGCCTTCAGCGGGCTCCTCGCCCCGTTACGACCTTTACGACCCTCACGACCTCAAGTCCGTGGTCTTCCATCGACACACGACCTCGAGTTCACGGCCTAGCCCGGCCCCTCGACGAGAGCGCGATACCGCTAACTCTCACATTGGTGGACACTCAGGGAGCCGGTCCACTAGTACGTGAACTCGCCTCCTCCTTTCTCTCTTAATGTCGACCCGAACGCCTGCCGCCGGCACTTCATTCGTCGGCGACGCCAAGCAACCTTTCCGGTCTGCCTCGGTCGTCCCGTCCGGTTCGACTACCCCTTTCACTCCGGTCTCCGCTCCCAGCCCTGGGGGCTCTCTCGGATTCTACGGAGCTATTAACCCTACGCAACCTTCCGCTGGTCCGCCTGCGCCATCGTCCCACTCGCCTGTTGAGGTTTGGACTAGCGATTTTAGCCGCTTTCCATCCTCGCAGCCTAGCGGGGCGAACCCAGCTACCCTCCCAAGACCTTTCACGGGCGACTTACTCGAAGGTTTGGGAGTCGGGGGTCCAATCCCGTGCCCTATGCTGTCCCACACGCGTCGCCCCGCAAGGATGGTAGTTCCAACACCGTGCTTCCGGACGGTTGGACCTTCCGTAAAGCGGTTCCATCCCCTATGCCGTCCGGCGTGCAAATGCCCGTACCCGGACGTCCGCAACCCTCCTTCCTTGATGGATTGAACCCACAGGCCTCGTCTACGCCCGGTTGTCCGGCCGCGATGTGGTCGGAGAGTGTCGCTTCAACCTCCTCCTCCTCCTCCTCATCGGAGATGCGTCAAGCCGCGAAGAATGCCATCGACAAGGTTCATTTGCGAGATCTCCTCGACCAAGACGGGAAGTTCAAATTCACCTCCGCCGACCGGACGAGGCCCAGCGCATCTACCTTGAACTCAACTCGCTCGACGTTCAAGGTCGATACCGTCCGCTCTTCGAAGAATGCAACGCTCTAGTCTGCGAAGACGTAGATCCGGACGACATTGTCGACTCGAAGAACCTTGACGACAAGGACGGCCGATTCTACCTCGCAGGGAAGCAACGCGACCGAGTCGAGTACGTTACCGAAGGCATGGAGGGCCTAGTCGTGGCAATGCTGCGTTTGGAGGGCGAGAATCGGTTCTGGAAAGTGGATCACGCGGAGTCCCTTACCAAAGCTCTGTCAGGCGCGTCCTCTAGAGGTATGATCTCGGACGCCTACCGCACTGTTCAATACCGCGTGGCCAAAGCGTCGACGCTCATTCATCAACGTCTCGCGCTACACGGCGGATACACGTACCCTAGATCCGTCAGATCTACCGCCTCCGACTTCAGCAACGACTTGGCTACCTCCGTCACGAAGAGAGCCATGGTCGACAAATGGCTGAAGCAACCCGATATATTCCCTAACCTTACTCCTGAGTACCAGGCCGTGGTACAACGCCGTCTGAGTGACTCGCGGGAAAACGAGGATCCTGCCTCCCTCGCGCAAGTCCCTCCGGAGCTGCGGTTTAAGATCCTTCCCGGCTCGCTCCTCGCCAACTCCGTCATCCTCAACGCTTCCATGACGCAAGACTACGACGCGACTGGAGCCGGCTCACTGGCTTCGCCAGAGCGAGTCGAACAAGAATTGACCCACGGAGTGTCCCAATCCACCGCCGAGCCGTCTGTTCCTCCTAAAGGATCACTCGAGTTCGATTACCGCCTCCGACCGTCGATACCCGTCCTCGCTACATGCAAAGGTCTAGCTATGGGAACCCCGCGTTCGAGCTACAGCCTCCAGGCAAACGACTCGGCGCGTCCAGTTCCAGGAACCTCCGTCAATCAGTCAAACCGGTCTACCAGACGTAAGCGCATCCTTCGCCTTCCCGTCTCAACCGTTTTCGGCTCCGACCTCCAAGGAAGAGCAACGATCCTCCGGCCCTCACCCCCGAGGCCATTCTCGCGCTTTGCCCGACTCGTCCGCCGCTCAAGCCGTACGCGACGCGTGTACCCGAACGGAGCGCCGCCGTCCGTAGCTCAACCGTCCCAAGCTATTCCTTCAGCGTCCACGAACGCGGCATCTATCAAGGATACAGGGACCTTCCTCCTCATCTCGCTCAACCTAATGTCGCTCCGCAAGCCTTTAAAGGGCCGAACGGTGATCATTACTATGTCTATCAACCCAACTCTGCCGTTATGCGACGTACGGAGGGAACCGCCCTCCTACGTCCCATCTTCCGAATCCTAACCCCTCTTCGCAAGGCCCCGGGAGCCCTGGTCCTCCCTCCAATCACTCGCCTGGCTACCCCGGAGACGCGAACCCGGGCGGTGGCCCGCCATTCGGAGGACCTCCAGGCGGCGGAGGCGGCGGCGGTGGAGGTGGCGGCAGTGGTGGTGGACCCGACTACGACCCGTACGGTGGAGGTCCCCCCGGTGGAGGTCCCCCCGATGGAGGTCCCCCCGGTGGAGGTCCCCCTCCCGACGGAGGCTACTCCTACGGGTTCCTCCCCGGCAACCAGCCCACCATCATCATACACCACTCTCCAGCCCCTCGCGAGCTAGGTGTACGCCTCGACCAGAAGATTTCGCGCGACTCCATACCGGAGTGGGACGGCCGGCTCCCTACTATCTGGTCTACCTCCATAAGATGAACAATCTGCCAATAAGAATGAATACGTCGCCCGGGACCTAGGAGCCGCCGCTCCCGACCGCTTCACGGGTCGAGCTGAGAGCTGGTGGCAAATGCTCGGCTTACAACATCAACGACTTTATTCCTCCAGCTGGTGGGCTCTGTACCAGGGTATCAAGATCCAATTCTTTACCCACAAGTTCCTCATGGCGCTCCGACTCATTACGACGGCCAACGATTCCGCCAAGAAGGACATGAGAAGGAGTCCCCATTAAGCTTCATTGATCGACGCATTCTCTATCATCGACACCTTACCCGCATAGAGGAGACTCCTGAAGACGAGATCACCGCCATAATGCAGAACACTCCGCCAGCCTGGTCGACAGTTCTATCCATTGATTCCATATTCACTATCGCCGCCCTGATGGCTAAAGTAGCTGACAAAACGGACGAGCTCATAGCCTTCGCCGGCCTAGGTCTCGCGCGTTCCTCGCAGTACGAACAAGTTCTTCGACTACCGTCCTCCAAGACCGACTCGCGTTTCGCGAGCAAGTCCAAGCGTGTACACGCAGTGGACGGCTTAGGAGGGAGCTTCGATTTGACGACGAGGGCGACCTCTCCGAGAACCAGACGATTCCAATGGGCCCGGCGAGAGCGATGTGGCCGCTCCGCTAACTCATTTCCGAGACGTCGCTTCCGCCGCCTCTCAAGGCTCGTCCTCGAATCCCCGTCGAGGAGCTGGGCGGAAACCGCCTCGGGGTGGTCACCGCTTCCAGCGGGACGACTCCGTAAAAAGCAAATGTCCGCCACCTGGAGACTGCCGCGTGTGTAGTAGTCCATTTCATTGGGACAGGGACTGTCCTCACTGGAATGAGTACGACGTCGGTCGCGGAGCCCTTCTCATCGGCGCTGAATACGACTGCGATGAACAGGAGAACGAAGAATACGAACAGGCTTTCGTAGCTTACATCTGTAGTAGCTTGAACAATACGAAACTTTCGAGCGCGTTGTGGGCGGACATACGCCAGGCGGAAGGCCTCTACTTGAAAGCTACGGTAGCTTCTCGACGTCGTACGTATCCCGTATCCATTGATGAGATGGAAGAAGCCTCGTCTCCTCCATCTGGATCTCTCTCCCCGGATCTTCCCTACCTCATGGAAGCAGTGCACCCTGGTCCGTCCGAAGCTACCGACAAGCTAACCAACCTTATGGCTGAAGCCCTAGCGGTCGACGGCTCATGCCACGCCTACGTAGCTCGAGAGGCTTTTTCTGGCGCCTCGGCGACTGAGAGCGGAACCGCCGCTCCTGTCGATCCTGGGCCCGACCCCTCTAACAACCCGAAGGTTGTGACACTTAGTCGAGTACGCGATCCGCCAGCCAGGCACTCCACAGTAGGAGTTGCAGCTCTATCATTCCAACTGCGGTTCGGCAGCCTCTCACACGACCCGGTTCAATGTCGCGCGGATTCGGGTGCAGACATCTCGTTAGTCTCCCAGGAGTACCTGGACTCGCTGCCCCTCGCAACACGCCCTAAGATCAAACAAGGACTTCGCATGAACCTATATCAATCGATGGGAGGTTTCCGTATTACCGGCTACGTGCAAACTCAGGTCTATATTGAGTCGGAACAAGGTCATACGCTCAAAATGCTAGCAGAATGCTACGTAGTTCCCGGGATGTCCTCTTCCTTACTACTTGGAGAAGATTTCCATGTCAACTACGAGCTAGGTGTCACGCGAAGCTTGACGGAAGGATCGGCCATCCAAGTGGGCGACTCCGGTTACTCCATTCCCGCTTCCTCAGCAGCCCGCAAGGATCGACCACCTATCAAGATCATAACCAGAGGAGCTGACTCCAGTTTCGTCAGAGCGAAGTCCCATCGCAGACGTCGAGCGGACCGCCATCGCGAACAGATCAAGCAGCAACGTCCTACGGCTATCGCGACTCAAGATGTGCGAATTTCGCCGCACTCTTGTCGTCCGGTGCCGGTCCAAGCTTCCTTCCTTGAACACGACTCCTGGTTCGTCGAAAAAACGGTTCTGGGCCAAGCAGACGGTTCCTTCCTGCTAACCACCCCATCCATTATCGACGCCGAGCATGCCTATGTATCCATCACCAACCCGACTGAACGTCCCGTTATGGTACGCAAAGGCGAATCCCTCGGTCTCCTTCACGACCCCGCTTCGCATTTTATGGACCACTCCTCGGATTTGGAAGCCCACGCACTCGCCGTCCAGACACTCATCCGTAGCGCGATAGAAGAGCCGCGCGCGGATGTAGTCGACACTCCTAATGTCGAAACTCGAGACGATGAATGGGGCCCTAAGACAGCTGAACTGCCGGACCCAGAGACCTACCCTTCGGCCAAGCTTGCCGAAATCTTGGACATCGGTCCAGAATGGCCAGCAGAAGAAAAGGAACGGCTCCTCCGTATGCTGAAAGCCAATCAAGCTGCATTCGCGTTCGATGGACGTCTAGGCCATAATCCTTCCGAAGTCGAGATCAAGCTTCAACCGGATGCGAAGCCAGTGTCGTTACCCATGTACGGAGCCTCTCCTGCTAAACGACTGGTGATCGACAAGCAACACGATTCCTGGATGTCTCTGGACGTCATTGAACCGTCTAATAGTCCCTGGGGGGCCCCGGTGCTGATAGCGTACCGTAACGGGAAACCTCGTCTCTGCGTCGACTACCGCCGCTTGAACACCGTTACCATCCCAGACGAATTCCGATCCCCAGACAGAACGAAATTCTGCAAGCACTCACCGGAGCTCAAGTCCTCACATCCCTGGATGCGTTGGCGGGTTTCACGCAATTGACGATTGCGGACAACGACCGAGAGAAGACCGCTTTCCGAACGCATCGCGGCCTGTTTCAGTTCAAGTGTCTCCCCTTCGGACTTAGGAATGGCCCCTCAGCTTTCCAACGAGTTATGCAAGGAGTCTTAGCCCCATACCTGTGGTTGTTCGCCTTGGTCTATATCGACAACATCGTAGTTTACTCGCGGTCCTGGAACGAACATATTTCGCACCTCGACAAGGTACTCAAGGCCATTATCTCCGCGGGTATCACGCTGTCGCCTCCTAAATGTCACTTTGGGTACACCTCGATTCTACTACTCGGACAGAAGGTCTCCCGGCTCGGATTCTCTACTCACCAGGAAAAAGTACGCGCCGTGATGGAACTCGCCCGTCCAAAGCGCGTACTGGAGCTTCAAACTTTTCTCGGAATGACGGTATACTTCGCGGCTTACATCCCTTATTTCTCGTTCCTGGTTTCTCCGTTGTTTGAGCTGCTAAAGAAGGACCACAAATGGGATTGGACAGCCGACTGTGAAGTGGCTTGGCAAAAGGCGAAGGACACTCTTCAATCAGCACCGATACTCGCGCACGCGATACCAGGACTACCGTACCGACTTTATACTGATGCCTCTGACATAGCCCTCGGAGCATGCCTCCAGCAAGTCCAGTCCATCAAGGTCGGAGATCTACGCGGTACTCGTACTTACGACCACCTTGCCAAAGCTTTCGCGGAACAAGCTCCGGTGCCCGTTCTAGTCGCCCGAACTGCTCGCAAATTCGACGACTGTCCTCCTCCAACGAAGTGGGCCTCCACATTGGACGATACCGCCGTCCATGTAGAGCGAGTCATCGCCTACTGGAGCAGGACTTGCAAGCCAGCAGAACGGAACTATTCCGCGACCGAACGCGAAGCCCTAGCGGCCAAGGAAGGATTGGTTCGCTTCCAACCGTTCATTGAAGGCGAACCTGTCACCCTCGTCACGGATCACGCGGCCTTGCAATGGGCACGCACGTACGAGAACACTAACCGCCGCCTAGCCGCCTGGGGAGCAGTGTTCGCGGCCTTCGCGCCAAACCTCGACATCGTGCACCGAGCAGGACGCATGCATTCCAACGTCGACCCGTTGTCTCGACTGCCCCGCGACCCACCGGAGCATCAGTCACCCTGCTTCGACTCGTCCATCCCCATTGTCACCGACCAAACTACGGCTGCAGCCACCGAATCCGCAGCGGAGCGAGCTTCAGCCTCCCGTATGGCGGCCGGAGCGTCGATAGTGACCTCGTGGGAAGACATCCTCGAAGAGACACCACCGACAAGATGGCATGCCAACACAAACGCGGACGACTCAGGTCTTAGCGTGGGGGGCGAACGGGAAGAGCTACCGAAACAGCGACAAGGCACTGCAAGCACGAGCAGCTCTCCTTACGCAAGCAACCTGAGTCTACGAGCTGAGGGAGATCTCACGCCTCCACAGCAAGTAACCAAGGGATTACGCGGAACGGATGAGGGAGAGATAACGCCTCCCCATTTTGAACCGCTCAACACCGCAGAGGATCTCAGTCTACGAGCTGAGGGAGATATCGCGCCTCCCCAGTCCGCAACTGAGGAGCAGAACGGGGCGAGAGAAGGAGAGACAATGCCTCCCCATCTCGAACCACTCAAGACCGTCGAAACAGTCCTAACTCGATCACGTACCGCCGAGAAAGCCGTAGAGAACTCTACTACGGAGCCGCGTAGGGATTCGAGAGCTCAAGACGTTCCTCAAGACCCAAGCTCATTGTACTATCCGGACGAAGACGTGTCGCCCCCGACCATGCTCATCGAGATGAGTAAGGAATTTCGGGACAAGTTCGTCCAAGGATACGCGAAAGATCCTTTCTTCCGAGACAAGTGGAAGAAGGCCAGTGTGCCAGACCTGCAGCGCTTCGCTGGTCAATGCATCTTCATGGACGATCACGGCCTTCTCTACATGCGCACGGGCTCGGACCCCGCAAGGCTATGCGTGCCTCGATCGCAAGTATTTCCCCTCATTGCGCGACTTCACGACTCGCCCCACGAAGCAGCGCATGAAGGCCCAACGAAGCTAGCCCTACGAATCAACACCCAGTTCTTCTGGCCCACCTTGCGTAAGGACGTTCTGGAATACGCAGCTTCGTGCGATGTCTGCCAAAAGACGAAATCCGACCATCGAGCTAAAGCCGGCTTTCTACGTCCGAACCCAGTCCCCAATCGCCCGTTTGAATGGATCTCTTTCGACCTCATCACCGGCCTACCTCTCTCGGACGGATACGACGCAGTACTGGTAGTAGTCGACAGATGCACGAAGCATGGACAATTCATCCACTGCAAGGGTACCCTCAACACTGTCGAATTTGTGCACCTCTTTGTACAACACGTCATCTTTCGCTTCGGTATCCCCGAACATATCATCTGCGACCACGATGGACGGTGGATATCTGAGTTCTGGAGAGCAGTAGCCGCCGAACTAAATATCCATCTCTGCTTATCATCATCTCATCATCCTCAACACGACGGACAGACGGAAATAGTCAATCAGCGACTCGAAACCATGCTCAGAGCTTACGTGCAGGGCGACCGAGCCGGATGGGCCAAATGGCTTCCAGCCTTAGCCCATGCATACAACTCTTCGATCCATTCAGCAACGGGTCAGTCTCCGTACTTCCTACTCTACGGTTTCGATCCCAAGGGCACCCTTGATTTCCTGAGCCAGAACAGCCGATACGTGGAACGTCCGCTACTCGCTAGCGAGCGCGCGACCGACTTTGTTATCGAAATGGAACTCCATCGCCAGAAAGCTCGAGATGCTCTCGCCTTGGCCCAAGAACAAGCGGCTCGCCAATTCAATAAAGGCCGACGGGTGGAAACCTTCCCCGCGGGTTCCAAAGTCCTTGTCAATCCACACTCACTGGAACTTGTCGACGTCAAGGGTACTGGAAAGAAGTTAGTCCAGAGGATGCTCGGTCCCTTCATCGTACAAGAACAGGTCAATCCTCTGGTGTACCGCCTCGCCATTCCCGACACGTACCCCATGAACCCTGTCATCAACTTGGAACACCTGCGGCGCTACCGAGGGTCGCCCTCCATCCCCGGCGACGTTAACCGCCCTGTTCTCCCCGATCCGCGCAACTCAGAACTCCTCGCAACGGAAGAATTCGAAGTGGACAAGATTGTCGCGTGGAGAAGAAATAAATCCAGGAGCAACCGTCTCGAATTCCTGATCCGTTGGAAAGGATTTAGCCCCATCCACGACACCTGGGAACCCGCCTCGCACCTACAGAACGCGTTCGAAATACTCAGAGAATACAAGACCGCCGAAGGACTGACTCGTTAGATTTCCCTCATCTTCTTCTTCCCTCTCGTCTTCGTTTTATTGTAGCTAGAGTATATATCATTTTTCTCCTTAAAAATTCCTCTACCATACTGTACTATTTCTGCCCGTAGAATTTCCCAGAAGACGCTCGGACGCGCCGTCGACTCGTCACGTGAGCGCGTCACGGAAGTTCATGAGCCACGGAGCGTCTAGCGCGCTTATTCCTTCCTCTTCCCTCTCACTAGTGAGCTAGCGATTCCGCCGCTTCTCACTCTCCCCCTGTAGTCTAAGCAAACGTTTGGAACTGCCGAACTTTGCTCAGCTACACTCCCATTTCGTTTCGCCCTCGCTCCTCCGCCGGATGTCGTCTCCCACTCCCGCCCCGGCCTCGCTAGGCTTTCGCACGTCGTTGCACTACCCACGGGACTTCGGACATCTCCCAGTCCATCTTCAAGCTGGCCACACCGCGTGGGAGCTCTACCGAGCGCACCGAAACGTGCGCTCAGCTCTTTCTATGGGCGACGGATCCTTCGCCATCTCGTCCAACGCCCCGTACATTCCCTCGCCTCCTCCTGGTGCAAACGACCGCGAGGAAGTCTACGCGGATGGCCGTACGGGCTGGTTCGAGCCTGGGTATCATGCTCAGTGGTGGAGCAGCGCGTTTGAACACCACGCGTTCATCGACGAAGCCCCGGACAATGACGAAGGAGTCGACGCTGCTTTCGTTAAACTCGACTTCAAGAAAGGACGAATCCCGGCGTCCTTCTACGTCTTGTGCATTCAAAATGGGACCGGCACCCCTACTCGCAACTTCTCGCTCGCCCTGAGAACTCTTTATGACGCCGAGCTTCGTCGCGCCGAGGAGTTCTATAACCTCGACCGTTCTCCTCCCTCTGGCTTCGTCCTCCGACCCACCTGTGTTCAGGACGCTCTCTACGACTTCAGCAGCCTCACCGTCGACCTTCACTCCATGCGCAAGATCGTCGCCCTCATCCAACGACACCTCCTGGAGCTGCGAGCCTACGCGCTTCACGCCTACTTACGGCGAGCCTTTGCGGAAGGGCGTTTTTCGATTCCCTGCCCGGACCTGGTGGGCAGAGGATGTTGGGTGGATGAGGGGAACGATGAGGTTAGGAAGCGTCTCGCCTGGTGTGGCGTCCCCGTCTGGTACGTCTCTCGTTCCCCTCCTCCCGAGAGCAAGCTTGTCTCGTCCATCGCTCCCTTGGACGACCGACTCTCGTGGGAAGAGTGGGATGTCGCGGAACACGCACCACCTCAACCACTCGGAAGACGGACCCAACAAAGGATGCGCCAACTCCAAGCTGACCTGGACAGCGCCGAGGAGGACTCCGATCTAGATATGGGCGACTCAAGGCAGCGGGACCGAGGCCCTCCTCGTCGAGCTTCACCGGCGCCGACTGTCCCTTCTCTGCCGGATCGAACGGATGGGGCGACTACCGCGGCCTCGCTCGAGAACCTGGAGGAGGGATGGGTGAACCATCCAGCCCCTGAGTCTCTTGCCGAACCACTTCCTCAAGCTCGAACCCCGCGCAGAGTGTTGGAACTGCCGCTCCTGCGCGAGGATTCGCTCGCGATCCCGCCACCCCTAAGCCTTCGCGGAGAGACGGTAGCGCCGCTCCCGCGTGCGGACTCGCCTATGGCCGTGTCGCTACCAGCCAGCCCGGTCGAGTCGTATGCGCCGCTCCCTACGGCTCCCTCTCCTCAGTCGCCGCCCCCGCGCCCCGCCGTCGACAAAGGAAAACGAAGAGCGAAGTCTCCGTCGCCTAGCCCATACGGGAGATACGGCCCGTCCCTCTGTCGTTCCCCTTCCCCGGACTCACAACCCCTCCGTCGTGCCTTATCTCGGTCGAGATCTCCTCGGCCCTATCGCCCTCGCCCGCGATCGCCCTACCGCGCTCGATCTCCGCCGCGTCCTCCGCTCAGGAGAGGTGGCGACTTTTACCGGCCCCCTCCTTCGTCTGGGTATACGAGGCGATCCAGTCGAGACAAGATGCATCGAGCGGAGCCTCCGGAAAGAGCTCCCAGGACCTCCAGGGGACGTAGCCCGGTGAGACGATCTGATCCCCCTAGTCGACCTCGTTCCCCTCCTCGCGAACGCGTCTCTCGGGACAGCCCGACCACGTCCAGTCGGTCCCTAGCTGAACGGATTCACCCACTATCCGCGCCTGCCCCGACCCGATCGCTCGAGGAACGATTGAGGATCGGAGTGTTGAACACTGCCAACCCTGCCCCTGTCGAGGACGTGAACGAGCCCGGCCCCTCTCTCCTCTCGCGATTGAGCGACTTGCGTTCCCTGCTCGCTCGGGTAGGGACAACACTTGAGGAACGGCTCTCTGACGTCAGCACTCGCGAGCCCAAGGACGACGAACCCGTCGTCGAGGACGAGGACGAGAGTGCCCAGGACCAAGAGACGGCGAACCAACCCGCGAACCCTAGTCGGATCGTCACCCTCCCGTCCGGAGCTCCCCTCAGGACGAGGCTGAACCTTCACTCTCCGTCCGAAGTGGTCGAATACATTCGCCGACCCTTTGAACGTGACGAGTTCACGCCGGCCCCTCGACGTCCCTGGGAGAGCGAGCTCGGTCCGGAGCCTCAATTCCCGGAGGATGGGTTGCTTCTTCTGCCCTCGCCTCAGCTGCTGCTCGGCCGACCCGACGATTGGTACGGAGCTCTCTTGATGTGGCTCAAATCAAGGGATAAACAAGTGGAGGCATTGAACCTACCGCCCGGAGAGTGGGACCCCCTCAAGTTCAAGGTCTGGAAGGGTCGCCTGCGTCCGGATGCTGCTCTGAGCCGTACGCTCAAGACTTGCAACGTCCGTCCGCTCCCCGACGCCATGATACTGTACCTCCGAAACCCCGGTCCGGATGAAGAGGACAAGGAAGTATGGGAGCTCCGCACCTTCCACTTCCGGTCGAACGTCGAGCGTATAGTGGCGGCCAAACATCCGGCCATGAGAGCGACTATGTCGTCAACTGCTCGCGGCGCGCTATGGGCCGGGATCCGCGACCGAGTGCGATGAGTCTGGGGGGCAGGACTGTCCGTCTATCCCTCCTACTACGAACCTCGCTACCTCGACAGTGAAGACGACGTGGTGCGGCTCGCGCACTGGTGCGCTCTGGGACGGATTCTCTTGGAATTGGACGTTAGGGACGACATTGCAAAGGATCTGAGACTCGCGGTGGGGGGCCCTGTTACGGATGCGGCGGACAGGATCAAGTCCGCTTACTTACATATATATTCTTCTCTTTACAATAACCGCGACCCTCATCTCTTCCTCCCTCGTCCCGTACAATAGTTAGCGTATATTGTGTCACGTGTACTTCTAGGCGCCCGTCTCTGCTGAAGACGCGCGCTATACTGAATAGACGCCAGACTTACTTGCATCCCACCACCTCGTCCGAGTGTGATTCCGCCGCGCCGTACGAACTGGGATCGAGTCTCTTCGACGTCGGACTCCTTGTCCTTCGTCCTCGACGCGAGCTCCCCGCTGCGCTGTCCTTCTGAGTCGTCTCCTCGTCGACTCCGCTGTCGAGCTCCTCGCCGACTGCCAGCGCGCTCCTCGCGCGACGACTTCAACGCGGGCTCCTTGCCTCGCTCACGCCTTCAGCGGGCTCCTCGCCCCGTTACGACCTTTACGACCCTCACGACCTCAAGTCCGTGGTCTTCCATCGACACACGACCTCGAGTTCACGGCCTAGCCCGGCCCCTCGACGAGAGCGCGATACCGCTAACTCTCACAAGAAGACCCGTGCCCAGAAGGACGGCGGCGGCCACAGCAACGGCCACGACCACGCCCACATCGCCTCGCAGGCATCTGTGGCTGGTCCCTCTACATCCCACGTCGTGGACATCGCGCCTTCGGGCAGCAAAGTCCGCACCGTCGAAATGCGTGCGCCTGTGCCGAAGCGCCCTATGTGCAACTGCCAGTGATGGCTGCAACGCGCCCTCAAGTTGGCCGAAGAGGTCGACGTGTCTCCTACGGTCGAGCACCTCAAAACGCTCACTCAGGTTGTCGACAACTCTGCGCAGATTGAGGACTACCTCTCTGATACGGAGTCGCGTGCATCCAAGCGCGCTCGTCTCTCCGACGACGACGACGACATGGCCGTGAGGATCGACGAGGTGAACGCGGGTTATAACTCGTACGACGACGGCACCTGGGCTGAAACCCAGGAACCCCTTAACTGGGGGTCGGACGACGAGGAGGTCGACGAGAACGTCGACGAGGACATCGCGATGGCCGCCGGCCTTGATCTGGACGAGGACGCCAGGTCAGTACCCTCATCTTCAATTCCCATGCGACCTACTGACAATGCGCTACCCACAGCCGCATGTAGTAGAGTATCATCTAAGTCGCGTGTAATGAATGAATGTATTGGTAGTTCGTTACACAAATATATACACTGTTGTCACGCACGAGAGTTTGCAGCGTGCTCCAAGTGTAAGGGAAAAATGAAGATTGAGGATGTCCTAGAGGGTGGCAATGAAGCCTACCCTGACGGAGACCCAACTTGGATGTTGGACTCTGGTGCTTCAATGCACTTTACCAACCGGATGAGTGATTTCGCTGAAGTTGAGGATCTCAGCGAACCCATCCTGGTGCAGACTGCGAATGGCACGGCCCGCTGCATGAAGCGCGGGACCGTCTTCATCAATTTCCTAGGTGGAGACGGTGAGATGATTACAACTCGTCTACACCCTGTCTATTATTTCCAAGGTCTGCATCAACGGTTGTTGTCCATGGGGACTTTCCTCAAAGAAGGCATGACTGTGCGCGGTGGTTCACAGCACATCGACCTCTATGAGCCGGGATCGCGGGATCCACTATATGTGTTTAAACCGCTGAACCCAGGTGGCTCTATTTTTGGGATTTATGCTGCATCTTCTGGGGAAGATGCGCAAAGTATCCACAATACGGTCTACACTGTAGACTATGAAACTATGCACCGCCGTTTTGGGCATCCCTCAAAGGATGTTCTTCGGAAGGCTGAAAAACACACCGATGGTTTCCCTCTCAGGGTTGAGTTCCCTACGGAGGATCCTGTGTGCCCTGGATGTGCAGAAGGGAAAATGCCCAACAAGGCTTTCCCGCCATCCACAAAGCGAGCGACAGAGCCCTTCGAGCTCATTCACAGTGATGTGAAGTCGTTCCCGCTTGACTCCTACCATAAGTACAGGTACTACATACTGTACTATGACGACTACACGTCTCACGCCTGGACCGTGAATCTGCGCACCAAAAGTGCTGCGATTTCGTCTACGCGGCAATTTCTCGCCATGGTGAAAACCCAATATGGCAAGAAGGTCAAGGGATGGATGTCGGATGCTGGGGGAGAATACAAGTCTGATGTGTTTGACAAGATGCTGAAAGACGAGGGCATCAAGATCTTGCAAAGCTCGCCGCACACTCCTCAGGAGAATGGCAGAGCTGAGCGACTCAACAGGACGATAATGGACAAAGCTCAGGCTATGCGCCTTGAAGTGTGTCTACCTGAATCCTGGTGGGAATTTGCGGTGAACCACGCTGTCCATGTGTACAACAGGACACCATCTCGTCGCCTCAAATGGCTGACACCATATGAGATGTTGAATGGCGAGGCTCCCGCCATTAGGCACCTACGAGTATTTGGGTGCGGCACATACGTCTTTATCCCCAAGGACGTGCGCAAGAACACTCTGTCTAGAAAGTCAGAGTTGATGACATACCTCGGTGTCACCCCCAGAGGTCACGGTGACTTGTTCATGCGTGCACCAAATAATGTGCTCTACACGTCGTCACATGCGTTGTTCGACGAGAGTATGTTCCCAAAATGCCCCAGCATGAAGCGGCGGGGTAATACTAGGCTGCAAAGTGCGCCAAAACATGACCACAAAGCGGGTCACCAACCCACTTCTCAGGAGGATTCAGACGATGAGGATATCTCTCGTCCCTACCACCTTCCAAAGGGAACGGACGATGAGCGTGACGATGCTCAGGAGCAGCCAAAGGCGCCCAGTCCAGTTCCGCCGCCACAACCTTCGGGAATTCCTGCGCCTCAAGGGCAGCGGAAATCAGGTCGTCAGCGGAAGCATGTAACTCGCCCAGGGAACGTCTACGGAGAAAATCGCAACCCCGTAGACCAGTACAAAGAGATTGAAAAGAAGGGGCAGTGGAAAAAGATTGTCGGAGAAGGGTCGGGTAGCGCCCGCCCTAACCCTCAATCAGGGTCGCAGCAACAGGTTCCCGGACCTAGCGCGCCAGAACCACAGCCAGACCAACCTTCTGGATCTGCCTCGGGCTCAGACGACGAAGTCGAGGAGTTACTCATGGCACGACTATGCCGGGAAGGGGGAGTAGGAATGGTCAACATGCTGCTTTCATGCGCAATACCATCTGTTGAACATGATTCTCCAGTGTCCAATCCACGTGAATGGACATACCGCGATATTCTCAAGCTACCCAAAGAGGAGCAAGAGAAGTGGAGACTAGCGTGTCGCGAGGAGTTAGAGGCTCTACGCAAACACAATGTCTATGAGTTGGTAGACCGTCCTAAGGGACGTAGGGTTACCAAAAACCGCTGGGTCTTCGATGTCAAAACTGACGGTCGTAAAAAGGCTAGACTAGTCGCAAAAGGCTACTCCCAGATTGAAGGCCTTGACTATGATCAGGTCTTCTCTCCCGTTGTACGCTTTGAGACCGTGCGCCTAATACTCGCGCTAGCTGCGCTCGAGGGCATGCACATCTCCGGACTCGATGTCCGTAATGCGTACCTCTATGGTAAACTCGACGAGGAGATTTACATGGAGCAGCCTGACGGCTTTAAAGTCCCAGGCCAAGAGCACAGAGTCCTCCGGCTACTGCGTGCTCTCTATGGACTTAAACAGGCGGGGCTTGCGTGGTGGCGCACCCTCAATGAGTCCCTCAAGGAACTTGGCTGTGTACGCCTTGGATCCGATGCCGGAATATTCATCTACAAGACAAAAGATGGGAGGTTCGTCCTCATCATCGTCTATGTGGATGATGCCCTTTTCTGCGGAAAAGACAAGGCCCTAGTGGCCGCTCTAAAGAACCGCTTCATGAAGAAGTGGGAGTGTCGTGACCTTGGCGATGTCAAGGAATTCCTGCGAATGAGCATTACTCGGAAAGGCGACGAGATTCATCTCGACCAAACTGCCTACCTTGAGAAGGTGCTTGAGCGCTGTGGCATGCAGAATGCTAAATCTGCGCCTACTCCACTCCCTGCGGGCTACAAACCTGAGCCTTACACCGGCACGGTTGACCCTGCACTTCGAAGTCGATATCAGACTGTCATTGGCTCCTTGCTATATATCATGCTTGGAACTCGCCCTGACATCTGTTTCGCCGTGACAAAACTCGCGCAACATGCTGCGAACCCGTCACAGGACCACTTGGATAAAGCACTGTATATCTGCCGCTATCTAATTGGAACCAAGTCCTATGCGCTTGTATACAGCGGCAAAACTGGACAAGGTGTCTCGGCGTGCACAGACTCCGACTGGGCTAACGACCCGGAGATGCGGAGGTCTCAGAGTGGCTACTTTATGAAGTTGGCTGGTGGAGTGTTCAGTTGGCTGTCTCGACGGCAAAAGACGGTAGCACTGTCTTCAACTGAGGCTGAATACATGTCGCTCAGCGACTGCAGCCGCCAAGTCGTATGGATTAAAATGCTCCTCACAGAGATTGGATATCCACTTGGCCCACTACCTATCTGCTCGGATAATCAAGGAGCGATATTCATCGGCTCCAACCCTGTAACTGAGAGGCGGTCGAAACACATCGACATACGCTATCATTATATCAGGGAGCTAATTGAAGAACGACAGGTCGAAGTCTTCTTCATTGGCACTGACAATAATCCGGCAGACCTTTTCACCAAGAACTTGGGCCGTGTCAAGTTCCAAAAGTTCAGAGGCATGCTCGGACTTCGATTCTACGATGAAGAGTCCTAGAGCAACCACGGACGGCAGCCCATGGCGCCAGGATATGCTTCGTATGTCAGGGACGTACTTAGCAAGGGGGAGTGTTGAACCATATAGGCGCCCACCGGGCCGCCGGGTTCCACGGGCCGGATCGCACTGCACGTGCTAGATCCGCACTTACCGCATAGAGCAAGTCATGCGTGGGAATGGACTATACAGTAGTATTAGTCAGCGTCTCTCAGATGTATATAAGACCCACCAGTAGCGTAGCTCTCTCTCCAGTTCCTTCACCACGAAGTAACTTGTGTGCCTCAAGTATCCAACCTTCAAGCAGGTAAGTTAGAGCGCGGTCCACTACGTGTGACCAAGTCTGCTCAACAGCACGTCCATCATCGTCTTGCACGACTCTGGCTTCCTCAACAACACCATCACTGACGTCCTCCATCTCAACCGCTTCAAGCTCAGGAGGTACAGGGGCAACCTTGAGTCCTTCATGAAGCAGGTTCCTGAGGCGCGCTCGTACTACACGCTCGAGGCGCAGGAGGACTACCAGTTCAAGCTGCCCGACCCGCCCCTTCTCGAGGGTGTCAAGACCAAGGAGAAGTCGCTTCTCAAGATACGCAAGGTCGGCTACCCAGTACCCGACGCAGCCCGTACAGCAGCTGTACGACATCATCAGGAAACCCACCCCACACAAATTTGTGGAAATCTGCACAAATTCGCACAAATCTCCTGGAGACCCCATTTACTTGACCCCCCCGATTTCCTCGCTCGAATTCGCTCAAATCTGCGCAAATGCACGCTCAACAGTTGCGAATTTCGAAGAAATCTGAGCTCAACCATGCCAGTCAGATACTTCAATTCACGTCAGTTACATATAATGTGGCAGATAAAATGGATTAGATTGCACGATGATACAGTGTTACAACTACGAAAACAAGTTCTTGACATTAAGGATGGACAGCACCGCGGGTGCGCAGGGCGCATACTGCACCCGCGACCCACGTACCCGTCCGTACCCATGTACAGTGCTACCCGTACCCTACCCGGGTTCACCGCTGGTGTCGGCGGTGGACCGCGAGTTCGCTTACCTCGGTGGTACCAGTACGAGTTTGGGCTTGTTGCCTGCACCCGCACCGGCGGTCCTCGTTGTCCTCCTCCCTGCTCGTCATCCTCCCCGCTCACGGTCCTCCCCGCTCGCCCGTGCTCCCGCCTGCGCATTCCCACCATCCGCGAGTGCATTCTCGCCAGCCCGTCGCCTGTCGATGTGGACGAGAGCATCAGCTCGCTCGCGTCCACTTGTTTCCCATCCGTACGCACTGTCCGTATGCCTTCCGCCTGGTCGCCGTGCCCGTACCCGCGGCACACTTGTCGGCTGTGTTTGCACGCGGGGCACTGGCCCTACGCACTCGCGGTCGGCATGTGTTGGGCATGTCCTGGCCCTGCCCACCGTCGCCATCTCCCATTCCGCTCACGCGCGCATGTCCCGTTCGCCGGCCGTGCCTGCGTGCTGGGCGTTCGCCCAACGCGCTTGCGGTCGGTGTGCTGTACGCGGTGCTGTGCCGTGTTGCCACACCCTGCCCGCCGACTCGTCCTCGGCAACTCCTCGCCCGTCTGCCCGTCTACTCGCGTTCCTACCTGTCTGCCCGCTTTCCCGCTCGTCTGCCCGCCTTCGTCCCCATCCGCCCGCGCGCCTGCTCGTCCATCTGCCCGCTCGACGCTCTTTTGTGCACGCGTTTGTCGGCCGTGCTTGCGTACTGGGCATTCGCCCAGTACGCTCGCGGTTGGCATGTGTCGTCCTGCGCTCGTGTCCCCGCCGACCCGCCCGCTCGCTCGTGTACCCGCCCGCCCGCCTGGTCACCTGCTCGCCCTCACTCATGTACTTGTCAGTCCCTGCCTGCTCACCTGTCCACCCGCTCGCCTGCCTTCCCGCTCGTGTTGCGCGCGTTCGTTGGCTGTGCCTGCGTGCTGGGCACTTGCCCAGCGCGCTCGCGGTCAGCGTGCGCGTGGTGGTCGTCCGCGCCCTGTGTCCGTGTGCTTGCCCTCTTGCCCTCTCGCCGGCCCGCTCGCGCACCCACCCGTCTTCCTGCTCACCTACTCATGTGCTCACGCACCCTATCACCCGCCGGTCTGCCTATCTTCCAGCCCGCTTGTCTGCTTGCCCGGTACCCGTTCGTCGGCCTGTCCATTCGCGTGCATGTGCGTTCATCGGCCGTGCGTGCGTGCTGGGCAATTGCCCAGCATGGTCGCGGGTGGCGTATGCTGTCGTCTGCCATTCGTCCACCTGCCTGCGCACTCGTCCACCTAGCCACACGCCCGTTAGTGCACTCGTCAAACCGTTAACCCGCTCACCCACTTACTCACCCACTCACCCGTTTGACTTCCCGCCCGCCCGCTCACTCTCCCGCCCCCTCATCCACTCGTCCGCCCGCCGTCTGTCCGTCGGCCGTGCCTGCACGGAGGGCATTGGCCCTGAGTGCTCGCGGTGGTCGCGCTGCACGTTGCCGTGTTCTGTGTCTACGTTAGCCTTGGGCTCGTTTGCGTGTGTCTGCACTCACCGGTGGACTCTCGCGGCTCGCCCTCGCCAGCCACACCCTTCCCTGTCGTCCATTCGTCATCCGCTTGTTGTCCCTGCTCATCTTCCGCGCCCGACGACTGCTTGTTGTCCCTGCTCAATGTCCGTGCCCGCCGTCGCGACAGTGCAAGCGGATGGGCGAGAAGATGTGGACACGGATATTGTCAGTAGGTATGCTACTCACCGCATTTTCTTTCGTGGCTGTACTTTTCCCCTTCGTCTTGTCGAGTTTCTGCAGCACGCCAACACGGGCGCTTTGGTCAAAATTTGCTCGACGACCGGATGTGCGACGTGGGGAGGTGAGTCATGTGACCCATCTCACTCAGGGCAGGCACACTGCGACTTCTCTGACTTCTCTGTTTTCGCGCTGCCCGCTTGCTGCTCACCGTTCTGTGCTGCTTGTACGGACACCAAGCCGACGCTCGACAGCGCCATGGCTTTCGGCGTCAACGGCCCACTTGAACCTCTCGAGCCTGCTCACCCTCTCACGCCCGCCCGCTCTCACGCTCCCCCCGTCGACGCCGTCCTTCAGTGCACGTCCGCTCCCGAGGGTGCGCAGTACATGGCCGCTACCGCAACGTTTCGTCCCCACTCGCCAATGCTCGCCCCGAGATCCCCACCTCGCCTCACTCGTCCTCGCCGTGGCC